CACACACACACACACACACACACACACACACACACACACACACACACCTCCTGCTTGCGGTCATCGTTGGCTCTCTGCAGCTGCCAGTAGATGAGCGCTCTCTGAGACTTGGGACTACATTCCAGGAACATGCTGCTGTTCTCCACGCCGAACACGCTCCTGTCCTCCACGTTGTCTCCGATGCCGTCCACGTCATCTGACCGAACAGACAGAGCGGGTGAGACGTTTGAAAGGCGAGACGGAGTGTGTGCGTTTATGTTTGGTGCTTTGAGTACCGTGATGCTGAAGGTCTGAGCACTGTGAGAGAGGATCCCCGTTTCTGATGTCTTGTCGCCTGGTTCTCCTGCAAACGAACCACAATCGCAGATAAAGATGGTTGTATTGCCTAAATTCAAACTCTAGAGGGCAATGTTGCTCAAAGCCTGGAAAATGGGCATTTATTCAACTTTTACCCTAATGATTAACCACATGGATTAAAAAACAAACTGGAAGAATAGAACATTAATGTGCAGAGCAGTGAAACGCCACGCTTCATTGCCATCCAATGAGCCGTTATTATGAAACACATTCATAACTGTTGTGCTCTCAAAGCGCCTTGTTAAAGCTGCTCTGTGCTCTCTGTACAGATTTCCACTACGACATTTTGGCTTCTTTTTTTTTACAGCGACGGCTGAGCATTTTCACGGTCTGGTTTTACTGACTAGCTGTGAGTGTTTCCCCCGCTCCTATCTGTCACGCTTCAAAGCTGTTGACAGGCCGACACGTGATGTCATAGTAAAAGAGCCAAACGTGATGGCTGGACAGCAAACGGGAGAAAAGTAACCGCTGAATAAAGTTGTCAGTAAGCATGTGCGTATTCTGCCAATATATCCTCATGCACTCCCCCTTCTTTTTCATGCACATTTCAGTCTTCTGCTCATTTCCTGAGCTGACATTCCAGTCTTTTTTTGTTCGTATGAGCATGTAAGGGGCCCGGTGTCTGGTCCTCGCCCTGGGAGGGAAAATATTTGCCGTGTAGGAGCCGAAACGAGCCGGTCTTGGGGTGTGCCACTTGTCTATTGATACCCACTGGTCTACTTTTGCTGGTGCTGGTCTATAAATGAGACGTGGCTGTGTTGTTGTTTTCAGTGTAGAAAGGCTGAAGCAGTCTTCATACCTCCTGAATGCAGAAAGAATTGTTCAGACAGCTCCTGTTGGCTGTAGTTTAGTGCATGTGAGCTGATGTGTGTATCCTGACTGGAGAGCAATGCTCCAAACTGCTGCTGGCAGGAGCAATAACCCAGGTTGCAGGATTGTGTTTCCTGGAATGCATACTTATACATGTGTGTATTTAATGGCTGTGCTTTGTGTCTACGTTATACTTTGATTATTTCCATATTTGGGTGTTTTTTGCACGTAGCTCCTATTCTTTCACCTTTTTAGATTTACTGCTGGTGTACATAGGTCAGGTCAGTGGAGGTCTGGCACTGAAGTCACATTTATTTGTACATCCAGAAAAAAAAAACATCCCAACAATTTTAAGCCAACATCACAACGCCTGTGCGTTAATAACTCCCAGGTGCGACTACGTATGATACTATTATTACAAAAAGGCAGGACGTCGCTGAAAAGAGCCGTGCAGGCTCAGCAAACCCTCCGAGGATAAATAAAGCTTAAAGAGGAGTGTTAAAAGTGTCCAAGCTCCTACCTCTTGGCAGTAGGAAAGTATCTAGAGCACTCAGCGCCGTCCCAAGCGCAGTAAGGGTCTCTGGCCAGGCAGCACTCGGCGCAAGCTTTCCCATACACCTCACAGCGGTGTAAAGACATCTGCGATACGCCCAGATTTGAGCCGAGGTACAGCTGTTGCTGTGAGAGCAAAAGGGAAAGAAAGGACGTAAAATTAAATGTTCCTCTGTGGCTCAGCTGGGAAGTTACTGAGAACAAAGGTAGATTAGATATCTTTGTTTAGGGGTTTAATTAAAGATCAGTGAGAGCGCAGCTCTTACCTGCTTAGTGGACAACTCCATAGCAGTAATAGCAACAGGCTCCTGGTTAAAACATGTAGAAGTAGTTTAGCACCGCATCTATAAGTAAATATGTTTCGTTGTTTTTGTAGAGCTGCTTCCAAAATTAAATAGCATACCCTAAAGACCGTCATCTCCTCCAGGACAACCTCCTCCAGGTCGTGCCAGCTCTCCCTGGGGATTGTCACCACTTTCAGCACAGTTCCCACATCTGAGAAACAGCAAACAGGAGGATATAAGGTAAGTTGTCATGTTGCTGGTTAAAATCCCTACATCTGCCTAACCTGCTGTGTTTTAACAGATCATTTCTAACCTCAGTAAACAGACCTCGAGCCTCAGTACCTTTAAGACGGGCTTTGTAACTTTGACCAGTTTAAAGAATCTCAGTCTAAATCAGGATTATTCAACTAAATTGCTCAAGGGGCCTTTTTTTTTCTGGTTATCGTCTTGATTTACTTTATAAGAACAATTTTTTAATAAATTGTTTTAATCTACCTGTTCCGATGAACATGACATCGTACTGCCCGTCCTCTGCTTCCACCCTGTCCACCACCAGCTGGGAGAACTGGTAGTCCACATCTGTCCGAACCATAATGGGGCGCCCCCCAATGGGGTGCACTGGATTGTACATGGCAGGGTGACCCCTGGCGAATGTGATTACATCATCAGGAAGATCTTTGGTGGAGTCGAAGCCTCCAAATGTCTTGCTGGGGCACTAAAATTAAAAGTGAAAGTAAAGTTTTATAACGGATATTTTATTTGCAAAAGTGACTTCATAGTTTGGTTTTAATATAAAGACTCACAGTTCCAGGCCGAGGATAAGGGACTCTCCCCTGGAAAGGCACCCACTGATAGTTGGGTCCATCTCTGTGGGCGTAGGGGCCCAGGAAAACCCTCCTGATGTCTGCCATGTTATACATGCAAACTGCTGAGCCTTTAAATATGTTACTGTGGAAGAAGAAAAGGTGAAAAAATATATGTAAGGATCTGGAGAACAAGGGAGCTGGAATAAAGAGAAGACAGAAACAAGCAGTGGGGATTCATGAATGATCGGTCACAAGACAGGGATTAGGAATTTGTGAAATACTGAAGAAAGACGGCAAAATGACCCTTCATCGCACAAAGACAGAGCAGAGCAAGGCTGTCATTACCTAAGTACAGGAATGACAGATTGGAACTTCTCCCTGATTGCTTCCAGCCTCTTGACAACAGACAGGAATCTGGGCCTGCCACCAACACAACAGTAGACCAGTTTCGAGTGCGTCTGAAATGCCTTCTGATATTTTTTGCAAGCCTTCACTTGAGCCAGATGGAGGGATTTCTGCATTTCACTTCTCGCACAAGATTCAAACGGGCAACTGTGTGGTTAAAAGAGGGGAAATTACATGGATTTCCTTTCGTGTAGATTTACACTTTGTTCCGGTCAAACGTTATTTGAGCCCTGACTCATCTGGACTGAAAATTTGGGAGTTTCACATGAATATCCCAGGATTTCAAAACGGTTATTCATATTTTGTTGCGCAAATTTTGACAAACAGGGCTGTCTCTGAAATATGTGCACACCATGGAGTTCAGTAACTTTAACTACCGGTATGTTTAAAGCAATACAGTAGTCCCTCGTTACTTGGCAGTTCGACTTTCGCAGACTCGCTCTATCGCGGTTTTTCAAAGTAAGATTGGACATGACACACAACTGGCTGATTGATGGAAGAGCCGCACGATCGGCATGGATTGTTTATTTAAAATAAATTATTTTAAACGATTTAGCAACTGCTGCACCTGTGTGCAGCCCACAGGTGCAGGGAGAAGCTTCTTCCTGCATGTCATGATCTCCGCTCTACAGCGAAGAAGTGGGCGTGGCCGAGAGCGCTGGAAGAGAGTGGAGATCACGACATGCTGTACTCTTTTAGAGCATTTAGAGTTTAGAAACATTGTTTAGAATATTGCAAGAGTGTGTGAAGGGTTTAAAACACCTTAATATGTATATATAAACACTAAAATAAACTATTACTTACTACCGTATTTTCCGGCGTATAAGTCATTCTAGAGTATAAGTTGCACCAGTCAAAAATTGCGTTATGAATATGGAAAAAAAACATATATAAGTCATTTTGGTGTACAAGTCGCAGAACTGGCAAATCTGTGCAAAAATCTACGACTTATATGACGGAAAATAAAGTACTTGTACTACTATTCCGACTTTGCGGTTTTTCACTTATCACAGGGGGGCTGAGAACGGAACCCACGCGATACACAAGGGACTACTGTATATTCAGAATGGTTTTCTAAATAATTTGCTCTAATACGTGTTCAGAAATGATCTAAAGCGCATTCATTAACTTTCACCTTTTAACAGATGGCAGCAAATCCTCTGCACTTTCACGAACCAAATGTTTCAGTTAACTCAAGATGTCCTTTGTCTTGCTAACTGCAGTGGGAAGTTGGATCAGACTAATTAGGGATGTGGCTGGCATACACACAGCCGACACTATTCACCAAAGCGCTGAAGATGAATGGATTAGCATTTGAAAATGTTAATTACAGAGAAATTCAATTAACTCCAGGGGCAAGAAAAGACACTGCAATATCTGCGCGTAGGAGGAAGGGCGACGATGTGGTTGTGCAGATACGCATGCACGCAGAAGCGTAGTGCGGGTGTAAATTTACCCACAGGAAGAAGCGCAAATGTGCACGTGGGAATCGAAGCACAATCGAACATTGATCTGTCAGTGGCAGCCTCTATGTGCCTCATTAAGCAGTGATATTAAAAGCTGGTTCCTGTGAATCTCTGCTCTATTCATCTCAGAAAACCGACCACTTAGAAACCCAATTAAACCACTCTAATTCCTCAATGCCCCATAATTGAATTTTAAAGTGCACGTGTGTGAGTGTGCAGCAGACATGCAAATACATAGGTGGATGCTCGTCAATGCGCAACAATCTCTTGGTTTGAATACAATCCAGAGATCAGAGGGAAAACCACCCGGGCCCGGTGATGCAAGGCGGCGTGTTGTTTCGCCCTGATGTTCCATCATTAGCTGTGATTGATGAGGACGTGCTTGTCCTCTTTACAAAACGCTTCTCACACAGCAGTGGACACAAAATACACCCCTCCTCCCTACCAAATGCAAATTCACTATCATCATGATAAGTGCCACCATCTGTGCTATTTCAGCTCACTTATCTGCCCTTCCCCATGCCTTCACCTCTCCACATGCTTCAATGGAGACACACCCAGCCTCTGAAAACCCCATTCACGGCTGTGGCCAAGGGAGGAACGTGCATTCCCGCTAAGTGAATATCGTGTTTCTGTGGCTCCCTTCTGCTCTGTAATCTGATTTCCCTACAAAGCTTGCCAGGGTCTCAATAAAACAGGGGACAGGTAGCGAGGGATGGGGGAATTGGATAAAAGCGAAGCCCACGCAGGGTTTCTATTGGAAGGGAAAGCAACCACAGGACACCTGTAAGTGGATTACAGGAGCTCTGTCTGGGAATTTTAAGGAGGCATGCTTGGTCACTCAAAGGCTGCCATGTTGTTTAAAACACTTTGGAAATTAAACTCAAAGGATTAAAGAACGTCTGATTTTCAAGTCTTCCATTAAACATATTGCATATCAACTCTTAGGGATCTCCTAGCAACAAATCAACGGAACTAATATGACAAAGCTATTTGAGAACTGGATCTCTTTCATGCTGTCCGAAGATGGCGTACCTGGATGTGGTGAATACTGCGTAGATTACGGGATTTTTAGGGTCTTTGGAGCTCATGAGAAACACGTCCTCTAAAGAAGATCAAACACAAAAATTTAGACAAATGTCTTTCAATGAGGTAGTTTTTTTTAATGAAGAGTGCACACTTACGTAGTTCATCAAAGTGTGTGTCGATGCCATTGATGCCAGGGACTGAACAGATGAGCCGAGCTTTCAGGAAAGTGGTCCATTTGTTCACCAAGCTCCGGTGACCCCCCAAGTCATTCTGCAAGAACATCGACAAATGTAAGTAAGCTCGCATCTACGAACAAGTTCTGCAGCCGACCCAGATTCAAATGCTGTATCTTCAAAATCATTCTAATAATTGCTTCAAAGATTGTAAGAGACATTTGTAATTGTTTGTGCGTGTTGTTACCTTACACAGTTGTCCTATCCTGGCAATAGTAGCCTTCCCGGTGTGTTCTCCATCCATGGCGTTCTCTTTGAAAAACAGGAAGAGCTTGTCGTCTTCAGGGTTGTCACTCTCAGGGATCAAGTGTATGTTTATGAATCTGGGGTCTAAAAGCAAAGGGAAATGCACAAAACACGTCAGAAGCCTATCAGATTAGAGCATAACATCCAAAACCCAGTAACAATCCCCAAACCAGTCCTGTCATTGTTTACTCTATTCATTCAGTGATAGTAATCAACACAATACAACAAAGTAATATCAGAATCAGAGGTTAAAAATGGAACGTTGTGGAATTTGTTATAAATGTGGATTTTTCTTCACAGTCTAAGTATTGTTCATATTTGACGTTTGTAATGAACAAGGTGATTTTGGCCTCTGCAGGCTCCTGTAACTAAAAGATTATGACATTTAACACCAAGAAAAAAGTTTAGAGCAAAAGATTATCCCTGACCGTCCATACATTATGTTTACTCGCTTCTTCCTTTTCAAGTTGCGGGGGTCACTGGTGCACATATCCAGACATCACTGTGCAAAGAGTACTGGGGTGGGGGGGGGGGAGGGTACAGCCTGGACAGGTTGCGCCTAGCATGCATGTTTTTGGTCTGTGGGAGGAAACCAGAGTAGCCGGAGAAAACCCACACGTGCATGGAGAGCACACGCAAACTCCATCCAGAAAGGTCCTCAGCTGGGATTTGATCTAGCGACCTTCACGCAGAAAGGCAACAGCTGCACCAACTGAACCACCGTGCTGCCTCTCCCCGATTAGCTTTTCAGAAAGTTTTGTTTCAGCATACTAAAATTGCAAGAGCATCTGTGAATGTTTCTCGCTCTCTCTTTCTCTCTCAGTCTCTCTCCCTCCCTCTCTCTTGCTCTCTCTTTTTCTTTGTCTTTCTCTCTCTGTGTCTATCTCTGTTCTCTCCCCGTCTCTCCTTTCTCTCTCTCTCCTCTCTGTTTCTCTACCTTTCTCTGTCTCTTTCTCTCTATACTGTGTGTGTGTGTGTGTGTGTGTGTGTATATATATATATATATATATAATATATATATATATATAATGTGTGTGTAGTGATTTTATTTTTTTTACATTTATTTATGAAGCACTTTTTATCTTGTCAGACTGCGTTTCTGCTTCCTATTGTTGAATTTCTATAAATCCACCTGATAACAGAACACATTAGGTGGAAAAATGTGGTTACGTCATAAAACATGAATTTCAGAAAACTAAAAGCAGACTACACGGAATCTGTGGAGAAAAAATAAAAACAGATTTCATATGACCCTGAGTGATCCAACATTACCTCAAGCCAGTGCTCTCCATCTAAATCCTACATAACCCCCACAAACACATGGGTCTGATTGTTCTGGGTAACACTTGAGTGAATTTATTGTAAGCATTTAAGTAAGAGGACATCAAAGCTTAGCAGAATGGAGCTGAGACATCTCTGAATGTAAAGCAGGCGTATGAAGTAAAGAGAAGTACCACAGTCACCGAGGCGTCGTCGTGGGTAAAACGAGCTGGTGTCTGAAAGCTCGGGGTTTAGCGGAGAAGAAACAAGCAGTGCCATGTTACGTCTCTGCGGCCGTTTAGGATATAAAGTAGCTGTGAAAACGGAGAGCGTGGCCAAAGTGGGAAGCAGATTTATACGTGCTGTGCTGGTGCGAGACCTCTGGTATGAATGGATACCCCACACAGGCCTTCTACGGTGAACGTGCGCTGTTAAGTCGTCCCGTTGGTAAATTTGCCCGTGCAAACGATCGCATTCAAAAACAGGCTGCTGACTGCGTTGCCAACCACTGAGGTCATGCCCAACAAAAGACTGCTTCATTCAGAGAATATTTAATCCATCATCAGTGTGAGTGAGAGGGTATTAAAAGGTGAAGAGATGCATAAATAATATCCACAAACCCAAACATAATTTAACTTAAATCCTTTAAGAATAAGCTGCACTTACAGATTCATTCCAAAGTATCATTCTTGTTACATTTCAGCACCGTGTAACTTTCTTGATAAAGGCTCAATAGAATATCCCCACCCCAGTAATCCACTAAATTACAATCCCCTCTTTGTAAAGACGCCATTGGACTTTGCAACCCCAAACGGCCTCAAACTTCAGGGTATTTGTTTGAACAAGGTGAAAGATTGATGAGGATTAATCCTCAGACAAAGACTTCTCCCTTCAAAAGGCTCTTATTAATATGTCAAAGTGATCAGGGCTGCAGAGACCGGCGCATTTTGACGGCATTTGAGGAGAGGTGGAAGGAATTTGACTCCACAACAAAAAAACAGCTGAGTGGATTAGTTCTGTGGGAAAGAGAAGACAGGACGGCCCAGCTCGAGGGGAAGGTTCAAGTTGACCTTTTGTGGCTCTTTAAGTCCTGCCCGGTGCCGAAAGATAGCCAGAAAGGCCGAACAGTCACTGCGGTTCTAATCTTACCAACACAGGGTGATCCAGAGACTTTGTGAACGAGCTCTGATATCTGATGTCTGCGCATGAATGGAAATGACTGGAGACTTAAGGCTTAGGAGGGAATTTAATGCTTCCGTCTGTTAAAAAGCTCTTTTTTATTAATAATGGCCTGTTAGAGGGGTTAACGTCCAGCCTTTACCTAGAAAATTAGGTGCAAATAAGACAGCAACTGTTCAGTTTGACCTGAAAAAGCTACGTTTGATGACGCATAAGTTTAGAAACAAAAAAAATTTATTGAAAACTCAATACCTCGGAAGACGTAACAATAAGATAATTCATATTTCAGAAGAAAATAAAGTAAATCATAAAGCAAATACAAGAAAACACAACACTCCAAAACAAAAAGCACAAAGTGAAGTCTAAAACATCAATATTTCTTTTTACAAAAAAATATATTTTTTTTTGGGGGGGGGGGGGGGGGGGGGAGGTTATAAGCATTTTGATTGTTTGCTGTGTTGTGTTTTGTAATTTTTGTTTCATTTCTTAAATAAAATACTGTAATTTCTGGACTATTGAGTGCACCTGAATATAAGCCACACCCACTGAATTTAAAAAGAAAAAGATTTTGTACATAAATAGGCTGCACTTGTGTATAAGTCACGGGTGTCCACGTTGTCACATGAGATATTTCCACAGAAAGATTTAAACTTTTAGTTAAATATGTACTAGTAACATACACAAATACGTACAGTAAATGTTTTTTACTGACCAGTGAATGGTCCACCCAAGTGGACCTATGAAACCAAGTTTCTGAAATTACTTATTATCAATATACTTATTCTTGGGGAGTGGTGGCGCAGAGGTTAGAGAGGTGGGCCTGTGATCTGAAGATCGCTGATTCACGCCCTGGCCTCGACAACATCAAAATTGTGGGTGGGGTAGGTAAAACACCCACACTTGCCCCCACCCTCATTTGCCCCACTCTGGGCCCATGAGCAAAACTATAATTGTTATTATTGTCGTTTGATACATTTCATTACTGATTTGATCGTGTTTTGGCTCTTGACCGTTTGTGGTTTTGTTGTGAATTGTATTCATCTGTTTTTCTGTTCTCCGCTGTTTTAGAACATAAAAAAAAGTTGGTTTGAAGACAAATGAAACCATATTTTACCGTTCAGCCATCTTGAATCGTGCTGTTCCGTTCTGATTGGGTGATGATCCCCAAGCGTCCGGAAAATGGCAAAATCCCTCCCCATGAAATCAGCAGATGTGCCAGAATACAGCTCTCCATCTGTCAGGACGAAGTTAGTCCAAAATTAACGTCCAGCTCTACAGAGAATGTGTACTTTCCGTTTCTGGAACTAATATAAGCGAGTGACCAAACTCACCAATCAGAAGTGACGCTGAGAGCATTTTGGGGTCGTAGGGGCTCTTCCCGCGGCCATTCTCAAATTGCGCGCCCAGTCGGAAGATGTTGTCCTGTGGTGGAGAGGGTCAAAGTCCAACAAGAGGTCAGTGAACACCACCAGGGTAAAGGTGCATTTATAGGTCATGTTTCAAGTTACTGTTTATCCTCATTGTAGCATGCTATTTTTGAGCCGGGACGCAAATCAAATTTGGCCTGACAGAAGCAACAAGTTATGTCTTTTCTTTTTACTCTGCTGGCTTTTTCAGCTGCAGGTCAACAATAGTCTCTGCAACGGTGCCACAGAAACATATCTAAATAATGGTAAAGAAAGAAAATATTACCTGAAGAGTTTGAATAAAATAAAGTCAAATAATTATATGCCGACTTCAATTCTTTAAGCTCATGTGAACACAGTCGACGCTACATGATGCAAACCCTGCCTTGGTCTGCACAGCCCATGCTGGTACATTGATTAACCTGTGGACATGTATTGAGCTGACTGATTAAACTTGTATGCAGGAAAGAGCTTGAATAATATTCAACCGTTGAAATGTGCTGACCCCATTTTCTGCCATATCTTCGCACGCAAAATAAATCACTGATGAGAAGTTAATCAGTGAAGAGAAGCAAAAATCTTTCACTTGTAGTTTCTCATTATTTTACAATTGTGCTGTTACATCTCAATCAATCAATTTAGTCACTTGATTCAACAAATTGATCATCAGTTTACAAACACATTCTCTGACAACACTTACTCTAAGCGAGTGAAGAGGAAGCAGGAAGAAGAAAATCTTGTATAGACCCGCCCCCTTTCTTAATAATTACAAACATTTCATGGCTGTATATATTAAACTAACAAAACAAGTTGCAAACAACATATCACTTTTCCCATTAACAACTCAAAACTGTATAAGAGTTAATCCTTCTTTTCTTATAAAGTGTTTTGAATTGATTTATAGTAGAGCATTTTTTAACTCCTCGTCCAAACTGTTCAATAATTTGACTCCATGCACCGAAATGCACATTTGTTTTAAAGTAGTACGCAGAGTTTCACTTTTGAAATCGTACTTCCTTCTGTTATTTCTATCTCATGAGCTTAAGAAAAAGAACTTTCGTAAATTAATTGGTAATAATCGCTTTCTAGCTTTAAACTTAACTAATAGCATTTTTAAATTAACATGATCCCTTAGTTTCAAGATATTTGATTGACTAAACAAGTTAGTCGTGTGTTCTCTGGTGTCCACTTTATATAAAATTCTCATAACTTTCTTTTGTATTTATATACGTGTTGCCCCATACCTCTATACAATAAGTCAGATATGGAACAACAAATGAATAATATAATGTCTGGAGTGTTGATAATTTCAAAACATTTTTTACTTTATTTAGAAGTCCAATACTTTGGCATAGTTTTAGTTTTATGTATTTTATATGAGATTTTCAGTTAAGTTCATGATCCAAAGCAATCCCTAAAAATTTTACTTCATGTACTTGTTCAACTTGATTATCATCTATGGACATTATAAGAGAATCATCTAATTATCTGTTGCCAAAAATCATGAATTTAGTTTTATTCCAGTTTATTGATAAATTGTTGTATTTAAACCACTCATTAAGTTTAGACATCTCACAAGCCATATATTCTATAATGTTTTTGAAGTCATTCCCAGAACAAAATTACTTTGTATCATCCCTGAACTGTAACTTTTTAGACACTTTACAAATGTCTTGTGTGTCGTTGTCACATTTTATGAGTTAGGCAAGGATTTAAATTCCCTCCTGCATTTATATAACCAAATAGAAGCCCCACGGCACTGAATACATTACCTCTGCCCTCTTGCCCATTTCAAGGTAAGCACAGATGGGGTGGAAGGCTCCCGTGCCACAGATGTACAGGTGGGTCTGGTTGTACGGTTGAAGCACCCGGATGAAGTTAGAACACTCCTTCTACAGTACAAAAATATAAAAAATTAAAGAGAAAAATGTCAAAACTCCTGCATAACTTTATTCAATGAGAATCACAGCTGATAAAAATATTACACATCAAGGATCTTGGGGATTTTATAAAACGGCGAGCTATCTCTTTTTCACAACTACCTCCCCTGAGCGCTGAAATGATTTAGTCTTTTCCAAACTACACTTGGTATTTCTAATTTTCTCACTTTGGGCTAAAATGTAGACAAACACAACGCAGGGAATAACATAGCTTAGAGAAACTGATGAAAATCCACTTTACCAACTTAAAAGCCGCTGCCTAAAGACTTGCGAGACAAAGTCTCTTTCAAGGAAATCCCATGTGCAAGTTGAATCAGGCACGGATCTTTTAATGATCCGTGTGCATGAATTTACCAAGGGGTGTTTGAGTTGGCACTGCAACACGTCTCAATAGTCCCAGTGGTGCGAGACTGTTTATTAAACTGCTAATCAACAGCATTGGTTAATGTAGGAGGGTTATTAGCAGCTCCAAGGAGCTGATTTAGGCACATGTGTTTAAGAGATTAACTTGGTTTAGCCCCATTATAAACACACGCTGGATATCCACCTGGCAAACAGGCACACGTGATTTGGAAACATGGCACATATCAACATTACACGACAGCTAAATTATATCTCTCTCTTCCTTTTCCTCTTAACAAATCTGTCTTTGAAGCTCACAGACGTTTCACTGACGATGCGACGATGTCTCCCTGTGTGAGGCGTAAATGGATGCAGGGGCGTCAGATTGGAGTGCTGACATTTTCCAGAGGAGCATAAATTCACACCGAGATCACAAGCTGTGATTTTTTTTTCCACAGCACAACTTTTTTTTTTCTGTTATTATTCTAAAGGGCAGACACTGTTGTTTCAGCTCTGACTTCCTCGGTAAATTTGCTTCAAGGGAAAGTTTGACACTCTGACAAATGAAATGATTTAGTTCCGTACAGGGAGTTGGGTGTAAAAATGAGATCACTCACTTTGTGAAAAGTGAAGCTGGAGAGAACCGCTGGCTAGCTTACTGGAGCTAATTTGTTAGCTTGTCTAATAACTGTTTTCTTGAAACTGTTCCTGTTTGGCATGGTTTCTGTTTCCTCAGACTGATGAAGCTTTCCGGATGGAGGGTGAAACGTCTCAGCACAAAAAAAGAAACCGTCCAGATGACCTGACTGAAAATTGTTGGGATTTTATACCTGGATTATTGAGCATGGACTTTGGTGTTTTGAACCAGTTTGACATGACTGTCAGCGAGGGAGAGAGCGGGCACCAGAATGGAGGGCGTGCCCCAAAGGCCATCTTAACACCAACATAACTGCTTTTTTCCACTTTCTAGTAGGGCATTAACAGAGTACTCGAGTAATCTACACGTCGATTGCTAGGACATCTATCGAGGTTAAAAATGTTACGTCGAGTATCCGTAGTGACGTCATATTATGTGACCACCGTATGACCGTAGGGGGCGGTGTTGCACTGTTGCAGGTCACAGAGTATGGTGTAACACCGGGTCCAATCCACCAGAACCAGTTTCAGTTTAAGTTTCGCTTTTGATGTGCTGCATGTTTCTTCACGTTTGCACTTTAATAATAATAATAACTAATAGTTTAGTTTTTCCTGTGACTTATTTGCAGTATGATAAATGGTAGGAGCATAATATACGCTCCCAATGTTTTGTTGGTCTTTTTTTTTTGTAAATAATTACATTTTTTTGCGGTTTTATGTATTTATTTATTTTTGTATTTTGAGATCTATGACGTCATCAAATACTCGAGTTCTACTCGGGTTTTATTATGTTAATGTTGAGTTTAAAAATTATATACTCGTTCAACCCCTACTTTGTAGTAGTCTGTTGGGGGAGAAGCAGTTTTGTTTGATGTTTCCTTAGACTGATGAAGCCTGTCAGGCAGCACGGTGGCGCAACTGGTAGAGCTGCTGCCTCTCAGCGCGCAGGTCCCTGGTTCAAATCCCGATCCAGGGGCCTTTCTGGGTGGAGTTTGCATGTTCTCTCCGTGCATGCGTGGGTTTTCTCCGGGTACTCCGGTTTCCTCCACAGACCAAAAACATGCATGTTAGACTGATTGGTAACTCTAAATTGTCCCTAGGTGTGAATGAGAGAGTGAATGGTTGTTTGTCTCTATGTGGCCCTGTGACGGACTTACGATCTGTCAAGGATGTACCCCACCCCTTGCACAATGATTGCTGGACATGGGCACCGGCGACCCCCGTGACCCCAAATGGAAGAAGCGGGTAAAAGATAATGGATGGATGATGAAGCCTTCTGGATGGAGGGCGAAACATCTCAGCACACACACAAAAAAAAACGTCCAAATAACCTGACTGAACATTGTTGGATTTCTTAAAACTTGCACAAAAAAAATGTGGGGAAAAATGCCAATTACCAGTAGTGGTTTAGTAGGTGGTTCCAAGATAATCTATTTCCTGGCTAGATGATAGATTGGTCAAAAATATCTAAATTAGGACAACTTTGTAACCTTACATTGAGTGGCAAAAGTTTGTCACATGTGAAACATGCAATGTTTTTAGTTGGTTGTAATGAATAAGGGTACTTTATATATATAAACTAACTAAAAACAAAGTAAAAGCAAAAAAAACATAGTTGCTTAAACCTAAAGCCAGTATCTCACTGGAATGCAGCTGCTGGCAAACAGCAAGTGCAAGAGAGTTTCCAAAAGCTCTCAAAACGTTTGCAAGGCTTCTTAAATCAGAGGCTCATAGTCTCATCGCTTGAATTTAAAACACTTTTTTTTTCCCAAAATAGTCACAAAGTTGTCACAGACATCTTGAACCCATCTCAACTTAGTTTCCGTAAATTCTCAAGACAGAGAACATTAAGAGGATTCAACACTGAACATGCATGCACCATGGCAAAGATACGGTAGATATTCTTTAGTAAAACACTGGTTCAAAACACTGGTCTAAATCTTCCAATCTCATTTTAAAGGTGTACTCCAGTTTACTAAATATAAGCATGAGGGCATCTGTCAAGGAGGGTACAAAATGTGTTGATGCGCTTATGATGTGGACAACAAAATAATGTGCATGGCCTGGAATACAGTTTTGCAAGCTGTGCACACAAAACTAGGCTGACCAAACTGGTTGTGCAAAATGCGTTCTGATGGCTAGCTAGTTGCTTGGTGCAAACAGAATTCAATCAGACTGCAATTAAAAATGTGATTATCTCTTTTGCAATTATAAGTTGCTAACTAGTCTTCAACGGTCACAGCTTAGTGAGATATTAACTTATCCACAAAATCAAAACAGTTTGTAAGAGGACGTTTCAAACTTCCTATAAAAATCTAAATGTAATCATATACAGTAACCCTGTTGTTGGCTACAGATCAACATGTTAGATTTTCCACTGATGTCATAGTGCTAAGTCTATTTGAAATATTTCTTCAAACACCATAAAATCTTTGTTGTTGCATGCTACCAATGGTGCTATTTTTTCCCAGCTATTCAACACCTTTCAACTATTCATGTTATTAATAACTCTTCCTGAACAGTTTACATATTTCAGCCACGGGACTACAGCTCATCAAAAGTGACTATACTTGCACAATATCATGAGGCTGACCTCAACTCTAAGAGTCTATGTGAGCGTGCAGCTTAATGACTTTACCTTCTGGGTTTCCTACCGTTGAACTGTCAGAGCACACGTCCCCCCCTTCACATCACTCTCACGCCCGTATTATGTGCATTTCATCAACTCCTATAAAGCCCTGCAAGATTAGCTCTGTTAAGGATTTACCACGGCTGTCTCAGCTAGATTCATTAGCTATGTGGTAGGTACGGCTGCACCTAAACACTGACAGGTGTTGGATATAGTCACACGAATGCAGCTGTGTGTTGCGCTCAAGTGAAAAACCCTTTCCTCCATCACAAACTGTGTAATTGCTTGAAAACTAAAATACCCACAAAGAATAAATGACTTTTTTTGGGGGGGATCAAATTAATAGTATTTGGACTGGGTAGGATGACGCTCCACCAGAGAAAAGGGTGGACAGATTTGCCCAAATGTGGGTAAGTTGAGTAAATTTTGGATAATACAGGACCACTGAGTCAATCCTGAAAATGCACTTAAACTATAAAACAATTATTAGAATGTTATTCTTTATTCTTTGTAATAACCAAGAAGTTATTCAGGAATAACATCAATAATTTTAAGAAAACCACACGTGTATCGTAGCTCTTGGACTTCACTATAGAGTCTGGGCCAGTCGGTCGGTAAGGGATAGCGATAAAGTCCTCAAGCGCTTTCAGGGTGGGGGCAGCTGTTACATTTGCTCTGTGGTTGTAAATTGTGGTTTGGAGAAATGCATCGCTTTGAGAGCTCTGGATGCTTTAGTAATGTCCTAATCAAGACCTCTCCGTGTGTTCCTCTGTCTTTGCTCTCACCGCCTCGATTTCAAGGGTAAACATTTTCACAGCACGCAAATACCTCATTACTGCCGTTTGTGTGATTCTGTGTTGCCAGAGTGCAATCTTTCCACTGTGTAATGCCAGTGTACAGCTAAAGTAGTTTTGACTTTGTGGGAATTGTGGAAAAAAAATGGTGCGACCCTCAGTGAAAGCCTTTTGGTTTCAGTGGATGTATGTGGTTCTGGATAATCCCCCGAAACCTGCAGCCTTGCACTGGAGACTCATTCAACCATGAAATTGAGATCAGATACAATACTAAGAGGGGCCTTTCTAAACAGTAACACAAAGATAAGATACATTAACACCAGTGTGAACACAGAGCTGAGTTTGTTTTCGAGCAGAACTGGCCATGTGTGCTAACACATCGTGACAGATAATGGAAGTGCACACATGTGCATGCTCTGAGTCAGACACAAACATATTTTCAAAATTTATCAAAAGCAAATTAACTCGGTTATTGTCCCTTGTGCCATTGACACATCTGCGCTCCCCTGTGTGTTTGTATGCTTTGTTGCAGGTGTCACTAGGAGAAGGCCTATACAAGGGTGAACGTGGTAACGGTGAAATGAAACATGGCTTTCATCAGAGGTAATTTCCTACCTCCTCAGTCCTTGTGTTCCTTTAAATAAGAAGAGCAAAGACTCTTATTTTGTCTGTAATAAATCTGAGATGTTCCAGAAAACTCCTGACAAATCTGAGGAAAGAACAGCAACGCCAAAACGCTATGGAAGGGCTCCAAACATGATGCCAACATGTGTTAGGACTCACCCCTAGATCTTTCCCTGCCCACTTGCATTCATCTTTCTTGGAAAAGGTGGCGGGCCACACAATCTGTGCAAATGAGAAAAACACACGTTCGGATTACATTGAAGGTTAAGAATAACATGTTGCTTTGTGAAAAAGGGAGGATAGACATACATTGGTAATGAGTCAGTATGACGAATCAAGACAAAAAAAGATAGTTCTGGGTAAATGACTTTGAATTCGTCATTTAAATTTTTTCCTTGTTTAGTCACATGTGGAAATATAATTAGAAAAGGATTCTGGTCTTGCTACATACTGTACCAGGTGAGAACCAGCTGGTATGTAGCGGTTCTATATGTATGTAGCGATGTAGCTACTGGTATGTAGCTGGGTATATACCCAAATACTGGGTAGCTGGTACAAACCCAGTAAGTACCAGGTGAGTACTCAATATATATCCAGTAAATAACAACTCTGTACTCAGCATGATTTGTACTATATTATGTATTGCTGCCAAGTATTGATCTTCAAATAAACTAAAAAAAAAAAAGTTTTTGTTAAAAGAAAAGAAACTTTAAAAAGAAGAAAACATATATGAATTTGGAAAATATAGTAGAATATAAATAAAAATGCTGAACTCTACTTGTACTGAAGTCTTCAGCATAAGGTTGTACTTTTCACTTTAAATATAAACAGAAAGCAGGGGTTTGCAACTGTGCTTGTCATTTCGTTGTGGCCTCTGGTTACACATGAATTATAAACACACATGGAGAGTATGAGTGTGCATGTGTGAGCTGCAATGAGAACGGGAGTGATTATATTCTCAAAATTGGGGGTGCGACAGAGCTCGTAATTTTATTTATTTTTTGGTTGCTGACCACACAGATGTGAGCAGACAGTGGAAATGTATGCACATGCATGCCCATGCATTATGATGCCCTTACAGAGAGCGAACATTTCTCTTTACAATTTTGTATCCAGTATCTTGATCAGCTATTTCTTTCCACATTAAAAAAAATAAATAAAATCGGCATTTATCACTGATTACATTAGGTGTGCTAAATCACAGCTTTTTAGTCTTTATCTCACAACGTTGCATAGATTAGAACAAAAGAGCCAAAGGCAGGGGTATTCAAAAGCACGTATCATTTTTGCATTGACTATGCATTTTTCAGCAATTTGTTCCCCTGTGAAGCTCTCTGCAGCCTGCAGGCAACACCGTGTCGGACTTGTGAGTCTTTGATAGCAGCTCGAATCAGATAAAAAGACTGTTAACCTAGTCCAGGTGGAGTAATGGAATTATGGACCGCCCTGTCTGGACTGAGACAGACAGAGGGAGGGATGAAGGCAGGCGAGAAATAGATGAAATAATGGACTCCAGAGGTGGGGTCAGGCAGCAGAGGAGAGGAGATGAAACTTGACTCTAATAAACTCTTTAAAACACAACTTTTTTCTTTTTCTTTTACCAATTAAATTTTGAGTTTTACCTGTTTGTGGTCTCTGTTGATATTGACGAGATCAAATGAGAAGATATGGTCCTCTGCTCCCACCAGTAATCTCCCCCGCTCCTCATCCAGTAGAAACGCATCATAGCTCGAACTATTGGCTAAACCATTGAAGGTGACAAGATTACTGGTCTCTAACATCTCTGGAAGAAAAGACAAGGAAACAAATGTAAATGTAATGATAACGTGAAGGTTTCACTGAAAAACACTTCCTAATTAAATGCAGAGCATTCTTTGAAGAAATGTCGTTGGTCGTTTTTCATGCAAGAACTAAAACGACCATTTTATGTGAAGAAATTAAGCTATAGATATTTTGCTCAAACCTTGAAAATAGCATTATGTGCAACTTACAGAGTCATTGCAATTACTTACTTGATCCGTTAGTGCTTAGATTATGTGTTGTTAATGACTCTTAGCAGCTACCACATCAAATGTTGCCTCAATATTAGTAAACTTCACACCATTTTATCCATTCGTGTGTCGGCTAATCTTGATTAGCTGTGCATGTGCATCCAATACGGTAATTATTTTCTACGTTTCATTGAAATCTGTTCACTAGTTCACAAGATATTTTGCTTACAGACAAACAGGACTGACTTCGACAGCTAATGCTAAAGTTTAAGCAACGATGGTTGGCAGAGTTAGTGAGTTTTATGTTTTCTAAGGTCAGTGGACTGTGGCAGACATCTTGAAATGGGGTAACTTCAAAATAATATTTAGTTTTATATGCACATTCAGTGGACATGGAGGTAGCTGGAGTGAGGACAGAGTGAGATGGAGAAGGATGACTCGCCGTGGCAACCCCTGAAGAGGGAAATGTCGAACAAAGAAGATGTACAGTCAGTGAATACTTTTGAGCGTTTCATTAAATCTGTAAAGTGATTCATGAGCTATTTTAATAATAACTGCACAGACATACAAACACACACACAGGCAAACTAAAAATATCAGTTAATTACTGCATAAAACTTTCTCCTGCTAAACAATTGTCATTTTAGATGAAACACTAAACCACAGATTAAAACCACTTTCAGTTGCCAGAAATAGTCCCTCCCCAATCATATCGCCTTGTAAGAAATTAAAATTAAGGAAATTTCATGTTTCATTGACGGCTTTGCACACACTTGCGTACGGACACGTGTCAGTCAAGCATAGCGTGAGGGGGTTTTAAGTGAACGCAGCATGTCACAATCAGGGACACGGCTCAGACCGCTCAGCCGTGTGATTGGCTGAATAATTCATACGGCGTCAGGAGCGCTGTGTGAGGAAGTATGCATCTGTAAAAAGGTTATGTAAATTAATGTTGAGATGCTTGTATGTGCGTATGTAGTTCCACACATTATTGTATTTGGATGTTGGAAATCTAACAGATTGTGAGATAAAACTAAAAAGAAATTAACACATTTTGAGTTGAGCTAGAACGCAGCTTCAAAACTAAAGATGAAGTCCATAAAGTTGGAATGTTTAATATGTAATCACTCTTTAAGTGAAAAGCAAGTGAACATAGGATTCCACATCCCATAAATACCAAGACAAACAGCTTTTGTGTCCAAGAACCTACTCCTGGAATATATTTTAATTTTACTGTATTTCACTTCCTGAAAAAAAAAATTATGTTACAACTTTTAGACTTTTCTCTTCAGTGTATTATATAACTTTTTCTGGAAAAGACCATTACGTTTTAAAGCTCAAAATATATTAAAAGTGTGCAAAACCCTCAGACAAAGGACAGACATCATGTGCTGCCTGAAAAGTCTGATGAAAAGCTCAAATGTATTTTTTTTTTTAAACTTTGGAAACACCAAATTTTCTCAAAAATTCAATGTCTATGTTTATGCATTATCCATCCATCCATCATCTATCCCCACTTTTTCCTTCTAAGGTAGCGGTGGTCACTGGTGCCCACATCCAGCAGTCACTGTGTGAGAGGCGGGGGACACCCTGGACAGGTCTCTACTCTAGTCCATCACAGGGACACAGAGACAAACGAGACAAACGACCATTTACTTTCTCACTCACACCTAGGGACAATTTAGTCACCAATCAGCCTAACGTGCCGTATTTTCCGCCGTAAACGTCGCTCCGCCCTATAAGTCACTCCGCCCTATAAGTCGCTCCGCCCTATAAGTCGCATCAGTCCAAATATGTCTAATAAAGTGGAAAATTCCATAAATACGTCACTTCGCCATATACGTTGCATCTGTTATGTGTCACTGCTGACAACCCGGAAATGTGGGCCGGTCTTGTGCCAAAAATCGATTGACTGCCAAATGGCGGCTGCGGGAGTGTGCATGGGAAGACTTTAACAAAATTTTTTATAAGATTAACACTGAAAAATAATTATTTGTTTGCTTTAAATTATAGCAAAGGCGTGTCTCAGTTGAACGTTTCATTATTAAATGCGCTTTGATGGTCAAATACAGCTGCATTTTCAAAAGCCAATATGCGGAAACATGAACGCACAGAGGGCGACTCCTTGTCCATTTCTTCGAAATTTAACAAGATAACCACCTAAAACAATTATTTGCTACCTCAACTTTATAGTAAAGGAGTGTCTCAGTTGAACTGTTAATAAATGCACTTCATTGGTCAAATTAGCTGCATTTCACCAGAGCGGCACCACAAAATGAGGCTGATTTGACGGTTGCTCCAATCAGATGATGGTGGCTGTCTATGGCAAGCTGATTGTCTCATTAATAGCAAAGTTTACCTATTACATGATACAAAGGCATGCCATACTACTCGAGTACCATCTAGCGGCTGAAAATGGTAGTGTTCAATATTTTCAGTCAGAATGAATGAAAACAGTCATATCTTAGCCCAAAATTAGTTTATAAATATGGGTAAAAATCCATAAATATTTTGTTTCGGTGTATAAGTCACAGAGCATGCAAATTATGCAAAAAAAACACGACTTGTACAGCAAAAATACGGTACATGTTTTTAGTCTGTGTGAGGAAACCGGAGTACTCAGAGAAAACCGACGCATGCACGGAGAGAACACGCAGTAAATAAAACATATCGCAATAGTTTTTTAATCACATAAACCCTTATTTTATTCACAATGGAACACAGTTTTGTTTTGTTGTTCCTTTCACCTGCTCCTTTTGTCTGGGGTTTTCATAATGAGTTAACTCACACAACGGATCAGAATAAACAAATCAAATGTTTCAACTAAGAAATTGACCAAGTCTTTGAAAAACTGGTTATTTTGAGTTTGATGGCATTAAGACATCTCAATGGAGACAAGACAGGGTCACATTTACTGCTATGAAGCATTTCAAATAACAACAGTCTGTAAATGTCTAGGAAAAGATGAGACCAGGTGCTTGTCTTTAGATGGATATGTTGTTCTAAAACCTGTTGATACTTCATGCTTTGATGGTTTTCAGATGTGTAAGGTGTCTAAACCATAAGCACTGATGTACCTCCATATCATCAGAGAAGCAGGTTGAACTGATCGAGCAGATGATCCCACTCTTTTTAGGTTCTTGGTACTCTTTGGATTTAGCCTTTTTTAAAACACTTTTGACATCTTACTGACTTGTTGCCAATTAACCTAATACTGTGTCTAATACTTCACTATGTATACATATACTTTACTATGTCCCATTGTAAAAACAAAAAAAAGTGTTATGAGATTTGCAGCTCATTGCACTGTTTTTATTTACATTTTACACAATGTCCAAACTTTTATGGAATTAGAATGGTGCATTCTAAAAATATGGCAAAATCATCATCATGCAGTTCATAAAAATACAAATTAAAACCTATTTTCTTTTGTAATAGACAATGCACATCATTGTGACATCTAATTAATGTTACTAATGTGAATAATTCAAGTTTACGAAGAAAAATGAAACAAAAAAGTTTTCAATGCAAAAACATTTGGGTAACTCAAATAAAAAAAAAAAAAATCTGGTATTTCAGGAAGGAAATAAGCCATTATAATTTATTGGTTGTCCTAAACAAACAAATATATAAATAACAATAATAATGGCAAATAATGAAAAGAAAATATTTTCTTTGCGCTCTTAACACAGAACACATGCTCTAAATGCACACTCAGGAAACCTACACTGATGCACCATCCATCAGCATCAGTGTTAACACATAGAAAAGACACACATGCACACAAAACCATTATGGAGGAAAGAGCACAGCCATACACGCAAACATACATGTGAGCAGTCCTCTGATTGACGGGCTGCTATAGGAGCCATCTGCACCCACTCACAGTGTGTAAGATCTTAGACATCTGTGTCCGCATGAAAGAATGAAGTGATGGAAAGGGGAACGGAGGAACTGGTGTGCCGACCATCACTGTGAACGAGCTGGGTGGACACGGTGCTGTGAGAGGGGAGGAGTGGTTGTCACTTAATAAAGATGGCGGCAGCTCATCTGTGTCAGTTGGATTTTAGTCGGATGCTGAAGAAACGGAGTGGGTGGATGTGGGCATGAATGGTGGTCTGGATTTGTACCGTGGTGCCACAGATGGGTACTTGTGTGGGTTTAGTGTGTGGAGGTATCTTTGCTCCAGTTATGTGCACGGACATCCTGGCATTCACAAATACAGACCTTCCATAACAGTTACGATTTAATCTCCCCAGGATTCAACCGTGCAAACGTTCAGACATGCTCTGCTGTCATTTGGCAGCTAAACAGGTATACTGGTCTCAGTATACAAATAAGAAGTGACACAGCAGGGTCAGGAAATGAGTTTAAAAAAGAAAATGCATTTTCCAATCAACAGAATGCCAGAAGGTCTACTTATGTTTCAGCTGTGAAAAAGTGGAAAGAACATGGCACAAAACACAATATTAACACTGGGAACCAAAAAAGGATGAAAAACTTTGGAAATTGCTCCAAATTTGATGGACTATAAAGAGAAATTTGAAACACCAGACACTGAGGCTTAAGGTCAACCAAGACATCTGAAATGAAGAAAACAGAAGACAAAGAGGAGTTTTTCCTCTCGTTCTCAACGTTGCCATGCAGGGCCTGCATGTGACGACCCATGTGATTTAAAAACAAGCTCTGTCACGAACGGCTTCCTCCAAATGAGCCAAGCAGAAACAACAAAATAGATGTGCATGCATCTTTCAACATGTGGTGATCTTCGACAAGGACAAGGTGGCCTGCG